AAAAAATTAATTGAACTTCGTACAGCGCGTTTACCACCTTCTTACATAATGGATTTAAGTTAACAACCCTTCGTTTTGGGAATCTTCTTTCTCCTATCTTTGTCCATAATTTTTGGACGCATATGAAAGAGCATTTTTTATAATTTGCATTTCATTTCATTTCACCAATCATTTTCACGTGTTTTGTTTGTGGTGTGAATGCTGTTGCATGGTGTAATTTGTTGTGTTGAATTATCACATCTGGTTTTACTGCTCTCCTTTTTATTCTCTTTATCATTCGCTTTTTGCACAAAACACTAGTTATTGACTTCTACTGGCATGATAATCTTTCGCCTTGGTAACGATCCTTCGCATATCCCATCCCAAGGGCAATGACTTTGTGAAATATGAGGTAATACTTGAGATGTAACGTGTTAACGATGGTATTGAATCAGTTTTGTTGCCGTTGAAATATGCAATTTTATGTGAAGATTGTTCGATGAGTTAGAATGAAATGATTCAACAATCTCGAAGTAGAATTAACAGCTAAGCGGTTGTTCAGATGTTATTGAGTGTTTAAGTGTTTTGTTTTGAATTATTAAACTAGACTATTCCCAAAATGAACAGGCTGATATTCGTCTTCTTTATCGGAACGCACTGATTTAAGATTATTACAAACAGCTGTGAAATATCAACAAATTGTTCATTAATTCACGTTCGAGAATTGACAAGTGCGTTAGGTATAAACAAACAAAAAAAAAACAAAGTAAAGTGCTGTGCTGCGTATGCATNGAATTGACAAGTGCGTTAGGTATAAACAAACAAAAAAAAAACAAAGTAAAGTGCTGTGCTGCGTATGCATAAGTAAGCACAAGGTTGTTGTGATAGGCTGGACCTGAATCGATAGTTCCGAGTGGTATGACTCAGACTGGTGCAGGAGGTGGAGGTCTACCCGAACAGATCGTCCTCCAGGAAACTGAAGGTATGGGTATCGAACTCAGTGGTGCACCTACTGGATCTATGTTTGCTAATTTTGGGTATGTCTGTTCATTAAATCGCGTTATTTTAGTCGTATTTTTTAAAGGAAACTTTAATCGTCACTCTTTTTCTTCGGTTTTTCGTTTTTTTTTTGTGGCAATTTTCGGTTGTTTCGTTGGGTCCTCTCTAAGATTCTTACATCCTCGTTTTATCTTGTCTGCGTGCGAGCATACACCGCTGTTGGTTGATCTGCGCTTTCTTGAGACAATTCGCACTTTGCGGTATTGCTAGCTGCACTGGGGTCAGTTTATTTAAAACAAACATTTCATTAATCGTAAATTTATTCATGGTTAATAAAGCTGTGCAATGCTGGTTCAGTAATCCGATTCTGATTCCGATGTACAAACGTNTTTATTCATGGTTAATAAAGCTGTGCAATGCTGGTTCAGTAATCCGATTCTGATTCCGATGTACAAACGTCTCTATCCAATAAGATGTATCTGCATTATTGCGGTTTGTATGTTGCATTGGTAATGTATTACTAACATTATGGTGTTAACGATGTTGATCACTAATGTGAACGTTATTTACACATTCATTAACATTGGTCTGTGTTTCCATATTAATATCAAAGCCGTCATTTGAAAGATTATGTGCTGTGCGTGTTACATTCACTTTGTTCTTGGAATTACACACTCATTATTATAACGAAGTCATTTGCATAGTTCCACATATCGCATAGTTGAGCATTTAGTTGCAATCGAAATACTGTGGTACCATCAAATAATGTGTCACTGTGAAGGTTAGAATTTCGGATGAGTTCAAAAATACGTAAAATACATATAAAAACATATAAATGAACAAAAATAAATAAATACATATTTTATACATACATATTTTATATATATATACATACATATAAAATACATAAGTTTTTGTGGTTCATTGTAAGTTAAAAAATAGTCAAAGTAAAGTGTTCAAATCAACTAACAAATTCAAATACTAACTGGTCTATNTTGTAAGTTAAAAAATAGTCAAAGTAAAGTGTTCAAATCAACTAACAAATTCAAATACTAACTGGTCTATATAGCACGGAGAAGAGCAAGTGCTAGATACACTATCAACAAATACGCAAGAGGATGGTGTGGATTTTGGTTATAGTGGATCTGATGAGGATATCGCTCAATCTTCGGACATGCGACAGCGAATAATCGCAACTCAATCAGAGGAGGCCCATCATCGTGCCAAACAACAAATCAAGTATCATTATCGCATCTTCTTAACAATTCTGATTGTTTTGATTGAATCTTTTACCCGTCTTATGGAAGCATCGATCAAATACTGTGGTATCACCGAATAATGTATTTTAGTTTCTATCATATTATTTGTCTGTCAATGAATGTGCTCTTACTGGTAATTTGTTTCGAAATTTTGTATCATGGAGTGTAGCAGAAGCTTGTTTGAATGTGATAATTGTTTGGTTGTGTTTTCGTTGAGTGAATTCGAGTCGCGAACGTAGTGTTTGGAAGGTTGTATTGATGCAGCATCGTGAATGTTTTTTTGATCTGATTCTTTTGCAAATTTTTGTGTTTTAGTTGCGCTGAAACTTTATATGGTGCCTGTCTCCTTTTTTTGAAACCGCCCATCCGTTATCTTCTTCTAACAAGACACTATTCTGTTTTTCAGGGTTGATTAACTTGAATTTCGTCAATATAAAATTAACGCTTGATGTTTCAGTATTCTTCTCCATTCCAAAAAAACTTCAGTTTTTTTGATATTTCTGAATATTCTTCAGTTGTTTTTCCTCTTCAATATTCATCAAATTCAATTCTGATATTCTTCAAAAAAAAATTGTTTATTTTACGATGACATTCTTAAATATTAGTCTCTTTTGAATTCGTGCACGTCTCTGCTGATATCCAGCTTTTTTAGTTTCGTCTTGATCTGTTTTGTTTTTTGGTTACAGCTAATGATCACTGAGAATCGTGTCTGACGAATTCCAATGGAATGCCTTATGAAGGCATTTAAAACAACGCATAGCATTGAGTATTTAACAGCTTTTTGATGTTTATACGCATATTACGTATTGCAATTGAGAATGAGTCGTTTCTTTCAACATTTTGATGATTCTTCTGTTTCAGTTTGAAACACGAAACACATTTTTGTATTTTTCGCACATTCTGTTTCGTTGGGATTGATTTCATTTAGGAAAATATCCGAAAGTCGCAGAATGAAATGATTTTCAATGAATGATAAATAGCCGTCTTAACTGATACCCTCTTTAATACCAGCGGAGTTTTTATTAAGATAACGAATGGACTGATTTAGATTCGTAGCTGGTGTCATCCAACGCGAACGACTTCCGGCATTTGAACGTCTCCTATGGCGTGCATGTCGAGGGAACGTTTTCCTGAGGCAGTCCGAAATTACAGAGCCACTGAGTGATGCTGTCACAGTGAGTTTTCAGTGACATCTATTTTGTCGGTTAATCAGGAAAAGTTTAAAAAATGGTAGTTCCATTTCAGTTTTATTCGTCATTCGATTTTTTTCATTACATTTATAGATCTCATCATTGGTTAAAAAAATGGATTCTTTAATATAATATTTGATTAATTTATTTTTCACTCATTTAAGGGTGATCCGATCAACAAAACAGTTTTCATTATTTTCTTCCAAGGTGATCAACTCAAAACTCGTGTGAAGAAGATTTGTGAAGGGTTTGTTTGTTGTGATCATTTTAATCATGAATTTTTCAATTAAGAAACATCGCTATTTTCCGCTATCAGAATTTATTCATTTTCGAAACGGTCTCATTGCTGTTGTGCTGTACGGTTACTTCAGTGGGCATAATCAGCACGTTCGTGCATCTGTAATATTCATCTACAAGTAGTACCATATTTATTGGCTAAACTATTAAAGCATTGGTGATGACTGTCAAATTGTCAAACGACTCAGTCTATTTCGTGTATTCATTTTCAGTTTCCGAGCAACGTTGTATCCATGCCCTGACACA